TAAACCAAACCTTAACAGTAACCGTATCGTAAATTCTCTATCCCATGAAACGTCAACTGAAATCCTGAAATGTCGTTTCAATTCTAAAAAATTACATAAGCAGAGTTGTAAGTTCGACTGTCGCACAGTTAAATCTCACGACATTTCAGTTACATCCGGATGCCAGCTTGCATCCGACCGACTAAAAAATTATCTTCTGCAAAATTTAACCACTTAAGTAGTATGCATTTTTATCATTGGTTTTAACTGCCCTTATAAATTCAAATGTTTATTATAGAAAGTATGCACAAAAATATTCTTTCTTGTAGTCATTTTGTAGCAAGTGACGTCTTGTTTAAATTTTATGATTGATGAAATTGTAGCCTTTGGTTTTAAAGGTGTCCAATTCTGAGATTTTTAAGACTATAAAATGCTCATTCATGACACCTCGTTCCTGTCAATTTATAAACATTCTCAATAAAGTATCCAACACAATCGACGCCCATTAGAACATTTCATGAGAACTATGTGACTTCTTCCTCATATCTAGGTAAATATATATATTTCTTTAGATAAAATGTAAAGAGCAGGTAGTTTGGAAACCTTATCTTCGAGTATAACGGCCGGTAGGATTCAAAATTAATTACAAATTATTCACCAATCTAGAAACTTCCTTTAAAACTGCATAATACGCCCTTTTAAGTATAGGAAGTAGTTTTTGTACTTTTCTATAAGATATGCTTGCATTTAAAAGGGCATTGAAAATAAGTGCGATCAATGCATATTAAATGAATAACCATTTTTTACATAATATACTTTCTGCAGGTGGGCAGAGAGAAGCTCCTTCAAAAGGCAGCATCCGCACGTGACTGAAATATCTTGAGATTAGGCTGTTCGATTATCAGTATTACAATTCCACTTTAGTAATTTGCTCGAATCCAGAAAACGAATTTCCGAATTTCGACTGATAATTCATGGGGTGGGAAATGTACTTTAAACCCTTAACACTACTGTTCCTGCAATTTGGTTCAAGGTGATGGCTTTCCTGATTTCCTTTTCTGTAAGGAAAACGATCCCTATCCCGCATATCAGTCCAAAAATGACTTCAAGTTTACAAATATTTATACACATAAATTTCAGGGGGAAAAAGATGATCAGTCTTCTAAGGGGAGAGGTGCAGAGGACTCTGTGGGCGCCTGAAGAGGCTGCAGTTTCTTAGAAACCCTGTGCGGCACTAACATAACAGGCACTGGACAATGATGAAGGACAGAGCCACTCACACCGCCTAAACGCGTCCGTCGCACTTTGTCCGTGCCACGACAACCCATAATAACGAGATTGGCTTTGTACTGCTCCACCACATCTAGCACTGATTTGGCTGGTTCGGTGTCGGCGCGGATGGAGATCTTGTGCCGAATGTTGAACTCCCTGCACCGACAGGAGAACAGCTGAGTGAGCTGTTGTCCCTCCACGAGTTGCTCCCGCATGCGC